GTGGTAGTGGTAGTGGTAGGGTAGTGTCAGTGGTAGCAGCAGTAGCTTCGTCGTGGTGGTGGTGGTGCAGCTGGTTGGTTGGCTAGGTGCTGGGTTAAGTAGTGCATCAAATCGCTCGTCACTAATGGCAGCACCAGAAATTTTGGTTCTAGAGTTCAAGAGCCAATGGAAAGGTAGTGATGTGGCAGTAAGCAGCGGCAGCAGCATCAAATGCTCACAGGTGCCGTAGCAAGAGTAACAATCGTCGTCGGCGTCTCGGAGCTGCTGTTAGCTTCCACAGCTGTTGAGACCTACTAGTTGCAGGATGTTCCAGGAGTGTGCCGAGACTGATAAGCTTTTGGCTTCAAGTGCCAATCTATACGCAAGGCATCACAAGGCTTTCCGCTCACGCAACATTTACAACAGCAGCGATCAGCATTGTTTTGTCTCCACTTTGAACCTGTCTGTCCCACAGACCTAGCTGTGGGCTGCCAGTGGAAGGAACAACGTGTCGACAGTCCCCTCCACACTGAGCTACGCATGGGTGGAAACCAGACGGATCCAGTTGCAGAAGATGCTCCAAGTCCCACTCGTTACTAGCAGCTGGTCCTATTTGTTGTAGCAGAACTGAGCCAGCACGGTCGATTTAGAGATTTGTGGGAGCATGACAGAGATGGTCTGCAAGGGAAGGGAGCGTACCAGTCCTCATTACTGTAAATTCTTGATCTGGAAACGCTTCAACAAAGGACTTTGCATCGCAAGTCCAGCAGTACTTCTGCAATTCTGGATGCCGACTTTCTTCGGAGCTATTTTCCGGCACTGCGCTTCGCAGAGGATCTGGGCTAGCAGCTGGAATCGCACAGGTGCAGGCACGAGTGTGGATGATTGCGCAAGGGTCGCAGGCAAGTCTAGCCTGGGAGCAACTTCGACTCTTACTGCAAGCTGCAGACCCCGCCCTGCGAGCAAGTGCGGCAGGGCTTTGTTACCCTCAGGTCGAGAAAACACCTCGTGATCCCATAAGTTGTTAGGAGGTCCTGCATGCGAAACTGGATCGGGGATTCTCATGCATGGCATTCTGCGGAAATGCAGCAACATGTTGTGGAGCGGCTGGCCTGGATTGTTCGGGGAGGGATACCCAGAGAACCCATGCCTCAGTTACAGCAGTTCTGAGGACGATCTGATCCTGAGCCATCAGGCAACGGCAACAACGAACTGCTGGCGTAGCACCGGAGAAGATTGTCAGGGATGAACCAGGCACGGCATCTAAGAGCTTCAGCAGGTTCCTTAGCTAAGCGGAGTTTTGGAAGCGACAGACATGACGAGCTCCCAACCTGCACTGCTGCCAAGAAGCGGTGAGGAGTACAGGGCATACTCAGCCGCAACGGCGAAGGTGATGTGTTGGCAGCTGGCGGCCTGAACTCCGCTCCGCCCTGTCAGAACTTGACCGTTGAAACCTTGGGGCCCTGGCCGGTGTGAGGCAATAGATCTCTTCATCGCCATCCAGCGGGCCTGCGCTGTCACTGCTAACACGGTGAGAAGCAAGGAAACCTGGAATTGAATTCAGGACTATCTTCTTCGAAGGTCATCTCCGCCATGAGATAGGAGGCTTCGGACCTCCTAGCTTTTTGTCCAGAAATTCCTTTTGAGCTGTTACAGTACAACTTCTTAGGTGGAGACTCGGTGACGATGTTGCTTGACGATACGGTTCAACTACAAGTATAATCGATACTCTGCTGACCTTCTCACGGATCAACCATGTCACTTCATGTCAGCCAGAAAGCCTACGACTAAGAAACAAACCCGAAAGAGTCGACCTCAACTAAGCCAAACAACTGCAAAGTTCATCTTCAGTGTCCAGCCCATTCCTTTCTCGTCAGAGGCACTGCACCAAAAACAGAAGCCGATTTGATTCCTTCCATCGACGGGTGGTCGACCCTGGACGCGGAAGCTGATATTCCTTCCTGAGAGTCTTCACCTCGTTTCAGGACAAGCTCTTTCCTAAATCTTTTTGCGGCAGACTTGTCCTAAATCATCTGGCCTTTGCCCTCCTTGTTCGGTACCGGGCTCGGCCCAGCTGCATCCTGCCACAGAGGCTGTGCTCGCTTCTCGTGGGAAATCAATCCGTGCTTCGGGGCATCCTACCGAGGCTACCACTATTACCACTGCTGCTGTGCTCTGCCTCCTCCTCCTCCTCGTCATCCACCATGCGGGATTACCCCCGTACTCTACTTGCCTAAACCACTACTACCCTACTTCCACTCCTGCTGCTGTCGCTACTGCCACTACCACTGCCGCTACCTCTGCCACTGGCTCTGCCGCTGCCACTGCCACACTACTACGACGACGACGACCACCACCGCCACCACCACGACTACTAGTACTACTACTACTACTACTACTACTACTACTACTACTACTACAGTACCAAAACCACAACCACGACGATGCCTACGGCTAACTTCTATGACGACAACGACGACGTCTATCTAATCATTACCCATTCCATCGCCACTACCTGACCTGCCTTCATGCTAACACACACTTTTCAATTCCTTGACTCGCGCCAGCGCAGTGCTGTCCAGACGACTTGTAACTACATTATGACTGTCAGTCTTGATAGCTACAACTGCACTGTTGCTGGCTATTTGCCTTGATGGACTCGGCAGCAATCTCCTGCTCCGCAACCGGATCCTGTGTTGCGCGGCATCAACCTTTTTTGAAAAGCTCTCTGCTGGGGGGACTAACTTCAATGAGTATCCCATACCGCTCCAAACCCCCATAATTAGGAGCCTTTTTTGTGAAAGCCCCCCTGAATTTTGGTGGATGCACACTGCTGCACACGCTGACCACTCTCCTCGGCTCTGGAAGTTGGAGAGAGCATCGAGCGCGGCACGATGGGCGACATGCAGAGCTCGATCATCCCTGGGCACGCTCTAATTTTTTCCCTCTCGCATGGCAGAGAACGAAGCTCA